ACCGCTTTTGCTCCGTGAAATTCAACTACTGGGCTCTCAACATTAGAAGAACAGATGAGAAATACATTCACAGCAATACTATGGCAATGCTTGAATGCAGCGATTATAACGTCCTTGTCATTTTATTCATGAAATTCCCCACCCTCCTCTCAAATTTCATTGAATAACCTTCACCCCACGGATCTCTTTCACTGAGGGTCCTCTCTCACTGAAAGATCTCGAGCCGGTTGGTGGCGAGGCTACGTGGCGCGACCCCAGGTGGCGGATAGGGGGTAAATCGCGGACCAAAAGCCACCATGTACTTGCCCTGAGACGCAGGTGGATTCAGGGGATGGACTCCCTGTTTCTGTAGTGCTGTGTTGATTCATACCAGCTGTCTCCACTCAGGCGCATCCATGCATGCTTGCGTGTGTGGTGCGCTCTGTGTGTGTGCGGTTGGTATCCTGCATGTCGGCACAGCCAAAAGCTTGCATTCAAGTGACTGGGAAGTACATGGGAGGCGATTCGGGGCCGCCTCCAAGAAATAAGCCCCTTGTTCCGCTCCAGGATAGCGTGGCTAACTACCTGGAGGTCTATCCTAGCCCGCACGACAGAGCCTGGCAAGCTACTCGTGTGCCTTCAATATGCCGAAAACAGCAATATGGATGGGCCTCATTCCCCTGAACCTGAGGGAGCCCCCAATACGGCAGCGTTGGGTAGGACCGCTCGGGAGAGGCTGCTAGAATCTCAGGGCCCGGATAGGCTGCCTAAACGAAGAAGGACTAAGATGGCGATCTGTACTTTCAACGCACGAACGCTTGCATCCGAAGCTCACATCGAAGATCTGATGATGCAGGCCAGGAAGATCAAGTACGACGTCATCGGACTGACCGAGACGAGAAGGCACCGCCCGCTACACGCCGTTTTCGATACTGGAGAAGAACTGTTCCTTGGAACATGCGACAGCAGAGGCGTTGGCGGTGTGGGTGTCCTCGTCAACACGCACTTGGCCATAAACATCGATTCGTACGAAAGCCTTACGACCCGAATCGGACGTTTGAGATTGAGAAGATGTGGTTCAACTCCTGCTTTGACAATCTTCGTCGCCTACGCACCAACATCGAGCTACGACGAGGAGGAACACGAAGCATTTTATATGGAATTGGAGAAGTTCTACAAGGAAGACCATACCTTCTTCAAGGTCATCGTCGGCGACTTCAACGCCAAGATTGGCCCGAGAAGAACGGCTGAAGAACTTCACATCGGTACTCACGGAATGGATTGGAATGAGCAGGGCGAAAGACTGTCTGAGTTTATCATGTCGACCAACACCATCCATGGTAACTCGCAGTTCCAGAAGCCCTCTCACCTTCGTTGGACTTGGGAGTCACCTGATGGACAGTTCCATAACGAGATAGACCACATCATCTTCAATCGAAGGTTTTGCCTGACCGACGTCGCTGTTGTTCCAAAGTTCTACACGGGATCGGACCATCGTCTCCTCCGCGCAAGATTCCACTTCTCGATGCGTGTTGAGAGAGCAGCAAAGTTCAGGAAGCGAAGCCCCAGGACAGTCATCAACTGGGACCACTTCGCTTCCCTCGTCAGCTTATGGGAGGATTCCGTCATCGAAAACATCGACGAGGAGTACTATCGGCTCGTTGAACATCTTCACGATTGTGGCAAGAAGGCAGAGAGTTTGAAAGTCACCAAGGGACGTCTGTCTCCGGAAACTCTCGAACTGATACGCCAGCGTGGAGCCGCACGAGCTGCAGGCAATCACCGACTCACGTCCGAGCTTGCGAAGCTATGCAGAGAGGCGATAAAGGAAGATCTCAAGGAGCGAAGAGCAGCAGTATTAGCTGAAGCAGCAGAGGCTGGGAGGAGCATCCGCAATGCCCGCCGAAGCTTTGCCAGCTACAAGACCAAGATGACCTGCCTCCGACGTCCGGATGGAACAGTTACTGCATCCCGAAGGGCAATGGAGAAAGTCATCCACGACTTCTACTCGGATCTCTTCGATAGCCATGTCCATCTGCCTACTTATCAACCGCAAGAGGATGGATACGTTGTCCCTCAGTTCTCTCTTCCGAAGTCCGACACGCCATCAAGTCGGTGAAGAATTGTACAGCGCCCGGTCTCGACAGGGTTAAACCGGAACATCTGAAGAACGCACCGCCAGTTATCATCAAAACTCTGGCTCGACTCTTTTTTCTTTTTTTTTTTTTATTTTTTTCTTTTACTTTCACGCGCTACCTGTCGGAATGCAAGGTACCCACTCCGTGGAAAACCAGCAGGACCGTGTTGCTGTACAAGAAGGGAGACTTGGACGACATTGGCAACTATCGCCCAATCTGCCTGCTGTCTGTAATCTACAAGCTATTCACACGAGTCATCCTTAACAGGATCGGCAGAATACTAGATGAAGGACAGCCATGCGAGCAAGCAGGGTTCCGAAGAGGGTTCAGCACGATCGACCATATCCACACGGTTACGAGACTCATTGAAGTTTCACGAGAGTACAAGATGCCGCTTTGTCTCACGTTCATCGACTTGAAGAAGGCCTTCGACTCTGTGGAGACAGAAGCGGTCATCGAAGCCTTGGGCAACCAGGGCGTCCCTACTCAGTACATCAAGATTCTTCGTGAGCTCTACAGCAACTTTACGACCAGAATCTCACCATTCTACAAGGAGGTCATCATCGACGTCAAGAGAGGGGTCCGACAGGGCGACACCATCTCGCCCAAACTCTTCAGCGCCGCTCTCGAGAACGTCATGCGTCAACTGGAATGGGAAGACATGGGAGTGAAGGTCGACGGCCGGCAACTACACCACCTTCGTTTTGCTGACGACATCGTTCTTATAACGCCGAACATCGAGCAAGCGGAGCGAATGCTGGCTGATTTCGACTGCGCCTGTGGTAAGGTTGGTCTACAGCTGAACCTAACGAAGACGATGTTTATGAGAAACGGATTGGTTCCTGATGCCCCATTCACGCTCAACGGAACGAACATCACCGAATGCTCCAGCTACGTGTACCTAGGTCGGGAAATCAATATGATGAACGATCTAGCTCCAGAGCTGAGCAGGAAGGAAACGAGCGGCTTGGGGAGCGTACAAGAACATCGAGGGAGTAGTGAAGAAGACGAAGAACATCCGGCTCCGTGCCCACCTCTTCGATTCCGCTGTCCTTCCTGCCCTAACCTACGCCTCAGAGACTTGGACTCTGCGCAGGCAGGACGAGCATGCGGTCAGCGTTATCCAACGCGCTGTCGAGAGGACGATGCTAGGAGTAACCCTATACACGCAAGTGCAGAGGGGAATCCGGAGTGCCGAACTACGCCAACGATCGAAGATCAGGGACGCTGCCGTTTTCGCCAAGGAATCGAAGATAAGGTGGGCCGGACACGTCATGCGATTTTGCGATGACCGTTGGACCAGAGCGGTTACCGACTGGATCCCTCGGGACGTCAAACGAACACCTGGACGACCGCCGGCCCGATGGTCAGACTTCTTCACGAAAGCTCTGAACGAAAGGAATGATGGACTCCGTGTCCCTCGAGCAAGGAGGATCCACTGGACCACCCTAGCACGCGACAGGGACGAATGGAGACGTTGCTGGCGCCCGCTCGAGCAATTCGATGATCAACGGGACGACAGGTGATACAGGTGAATCCTTCACCAATGCGAACTATTTCAATTATGATTGCTGTTTACTGGAATGAAATCCAGACGAGAAGCGATGACTGTACTCTTATAAAGTAGAATGTGACATATAAGACGAAAACAGTCTGCGCAAATAAGCAGTTCGGGATGGGAAAGGTTGAGCAGAGGATTGGCGACAATCAGCAGGCTCTAAGTATGCGCCACGCATTCCGCTATCCTATTCAAAATTCACTCATTTGTATATCATCTGAACAATGACTTGTGTCAGCCAATCTATGCTCATTTCAGTACTATGAGTCCTCTCAAGAGTAGCCTCTCCAATCAATTAATAAATATAACATAAAAACATTAAAATCTATTTCTTGTACACATGGAATGAATATCAGTGACATTTGCCTATGCTGTTAAAAACACAAGGATAATGTAGACAGTAACACTTTGTTTCTTCTGCATCAGTTGAGCATTTTGTTACTTCGTTCTGAACTCTGGCGCGATGTTCTACTACAACTGACCGGCTTGTTCTTTTCAAGTAATAGTTAAATAAATACTACATAAATGTGCAAATAATACAAAACACTTCGATACGGTAATAATTTCTTGAATGTCCTTAATTAGCAAACGTAGAGTTTTTGTTTACCCATTATAAGAGCCATTAACATTAACTATAATCTTACATGCGGCGCCCTGACCTCTTTTTAAACCCCGTAAATCTTCCACGAGTTCAAGTAACAGTGCTTCTCTAACATTCTAAACATCTTCGAACGTTCGCATTGAGTCCCCATGCAATAGCATCATTTACGACCCAACCTTTTTCTCTCGAATATCCACATTGTAGGAGTTAGCGATATCTGAACTCTATTCTGTCACTCCGAGTTTTTTTCGACCACACCCTCTTCTTGACCGAGAAACTAGCGGGTACAGTCCTAACGAGATTGCATGCTGCGGACGATGCAAATTAAAGCAACACTACGCCGCGACACAACAATTCAGCCGAAATGTCATTTAAAGGTGAACAGAATCACGCCATAAAGATGCGATCCATTTTGGACTGTAGGTATGACAGCCCTTTAATCATATGAAGAGCAGCATAGGGCTAATACGATCCATATACCATGAACCAGATAGAAAACAGTAGCAGAAGGGAAGTGGAAAACAGATGCCATAAATACGATTGAAAGGATGGGATGGGGCAAGAAAAAATAGAAAACTGGAATGAAAAGCAAACAGTGGATCCTCCTGAGTTCTTACCATTTTGCGAGTACAATAAGGAGGACACCAACTTTCGAAACCACAACTTGACTTCATTTCGATAAGAGAAACATCTAATTGGACAATAAAAAGAAACCATTACTCACCATCAGTCACCTCGGCTTTCGCTTTGTGCTCCGACTTCGCTCGTGTCGCCGCTAACAGCCATTCCATGGTCAAGTCTAGAATGCGTTCGGCCTTCGGCCCTTTTTCGTCCACCCATGGTATATAGGCCGGATTCACTGCAATGGGCGTATAAACTTGGTGGAGGAAACTCCTCCAATAGCAACAGACATTGATATGTTCTTTTCTTTTTTCGCTTGAATCATTATGGAAAAAATGCAAATCCCTGACCACTCTAATTTATCAAATTATTTCAGAAAGGTTTCTCAAAGCCGCAAATTATCTAGAACCTGCATGGTTTCTGCTTGCCATAGTATTTCCACTTGCAAGAACACAAATCCCATTCATGACCGGTTTCCTAGCCGATGGCGACGCATAGAACAGAACCTACACATTAGATACAATCAGAGAAGACCACTTTGCGATGCGTTCGATGATCAAATAGTGCATGCAGACAGTAGCAAAAGAAACCAGATAAACCAGTATCGTTCACAGTAGCACCCCATCTTGATCGTTTGAATTTGGTATATGATATCCAAAGGGAGTAGGTTGCACCAAGTCTATCATAGGTAAAAAACAGCTGTGGCTACCACGAGAATTGACACGCTAAATCAGTTTTTCTTCTGAGGCTCTTACCTAACTTGTAAAATATATTTTGGTCATAAAACCCAGTACCATCCTATTCCACCGACACATTTTCCCACCATACGTCGCTACATAAAAAGTTTACAGTTTCTGTGTACGCCTGAATAATGGGCGAGTTCTTCCGTGTGAGAAAGGCAGTGCACTTCGAGGTATTTTTGAAGGCAGGCGAGACGATAATGGTTCTCGATGATAGGGATAAATGCGACCTCTATAAAAAGATAGGCCAATGAGGGAGGAGACGTGGAGGTTTCGCCGTTTAGTGGTCTAGTAAATCCTTGCCGCCGCTTTCGTGGAGAACCCCGCCTCCTAATAATATAAGTGTGCCGGGTGTCGGAAGGGCCACTTCTCAAAATAGTCGAACATTAAGAACAATTCGCAGGAACGAATCGAGGGTAAGGACCACCTATAATGACGTTGCAGGTGAGAAGTTGGTCAATGGAGAAAGAAAAAGTAGAAAAAAACGTCGGGCAGGGGCTTAGACAGGGACTCCCCCTGCCGTTTAGGGAGACGTGTGTTGGACGAGTTGTCCGAACCTGCCCGTAGTACATGCGCTCCAATTGCAACTGCTGGCAAATAGCCATGCATGCTTGCAAATACATAACTATTTGCCAGCAATCGAAATTGAAGCGCTTCAATTGCGTTCTTATGGAATCGACCTCATACAGCGCGGCGGTCCCGCAACGACCGCTAGTCAAGCACGGACTCTGCACAGCGTATGTTGGGCGATCCGCCTCGGTATGGGTGATCCGCCCCCTCTCCAAGAGGACTTCGACCCCTTCCAGCGCATTTTAGAGGTAGGTTTTGAAATTAAAGACATTTCCTATAAACTTTAGTTGGGCTGGGGCATGTTTTGACCGCCTAATGACCAAGTAGTTGAAACCCTGCCTGGACTGTTGCTTTAAGGTTTGTCATCCGGTGTGACCTTGAACAAGTTTACGAGTCGCATGATAAAGGCTACTGGAATCGGAAGGTCCGGGCAAATTTTTTAAAAAGCTGGCCTTCCAAAATGAAAGTCAAAGAGCAGAGGGAGGGTCTCTCTTCCCCATCCTCTTACCAGGGAGGTAGTGCCGCTTTTCAAAACGGTTTCTTGCATGAAATAGGAGCAGACGCAGGGATCATAGAACAATGATTCATTTTTCCTGAACGACCTCCTGAATGCCAAAAACGGGATGCTGGAGTGGTCCGTGGTTCAATTGCTCGTGGTGACATATTTTGAATTTCGAGACAGCGTTTCAAAATTTGCGCAAAATGCCGTCAGCGCCAAGAATAGATGTCATGTTCAACCCTCACAAGTAAGCAATTTGCGCAAACGAAATTGGTGATGGAATTTGTGACACCAAAACGGCACAAATGTAGCTCCTAATGGCGTCGTAGCGGCACTATATGACGTCCGCGCCAAAAACGAATGTCATATCTGTAATTAGGGCGCCGGACAACACCTATAACTGAATTCAGACAACTTGAAACCTAACGAATACAAGCAACGATTTGGTGAATATGTCTGAGTTAGAAGACCCCAAAATACACATTCAACTGACCTGCAAGCGTATGTGCCACAAACTGCAAGGCAAGTGGACGTAACGACTTTCAGCCGACATCAGAGACTGCTTCGTTATCCGGTATACGTCCTTGACTCACGCTTTCGGCAGTTTTTGGAGAAATCTAAAGTGAATTTTAGAAAAAGTCGAGAGTATCGTTTTGAGCAAATTTGATCATGACGAATACGTTCAAAATAATTCATACTGAAGCGATATAGCTCGCGACATCAGAAACCTTTTCAACTGCTGGAAAGAAAATACAGATATTTCGAATGGCCTAGCTGACGACAAGGCTCCCCGAGAGAGTTCATTGTGAAGAAAGTAACGTCTAACTAATACGTCTAATACTAGTTAACGAAATGGTGATTAAATACTACACGACAATAAAAATTGTACAGGCACAATTTTAGACTTTTGTGAAATGCAGTATATTTGCTCAATAAAAAGAAGCAAAGGTTCGATGCTCTCAAGATTCTTTCCCAAAAAAGAATTTCTATGTCGTTTTCACAAAGTTGAGGAACGATGGGGAAAAAGAAGGCGAAGGCAAGTACGATTGGAAGATTGATTATGTGAGAACAATGATTAAATTAATGAAGATACAATTGAACACACCTGATCGTTGTATGACGGCTTGCACTGGCGGAGCTCATAGGATGTGAATGTTGTGAATGCTGTGAAGCACTCATATTCGTCCCACTGTGATCGTCATTTACGCGGTCTAGAAATATCAAATATTTAGTTGGAAGTGTCATTTGAACAAGGCAGAGAGTGCCACTTCACTATTTGTTCGAGAGTAGGTGAGGATCCGATTCTAGACTTGCCACTTTTCGAGCAGAGAAGGAATGTTAGAATTTGAGGATAAAGCATTCGGTCAGCATCAACCCGTCTTGGGATGCGGCCACGCATTCTACTTCCATTTCAGCATCGTAGTGGCAATTGAATGCGATGTGGCCTATACAATGACTTGCGGGGGCCAGCCGATGTACAAGTCAGTGTTTTTATCCTCCCAGACAAGTCTGGTACCAATTAACCATGGAGGCTTGGTTGGCGCGAACGACCCAGGATTTGATCCCCGGACCGCTCGCGTGGTAAGAAGTGCCACTTGCCACTATATCACTTCCGTATAACGTAATGGAAGGAATGTAGCAAGCAAAAATTAAGCGAAGGGATGCTCAAAATTAATTCATTTCTAACGAATTGCATACCTGACTGCTTCGTTCGCACTGAACGTTTCGTCATATCCGACATGCTGCGACCTTCTTTAGCACTCGTTGAAGAAGAAAAAGAACCACGTGAATCATGCGTTAAGGTACCGTCAGTATCACGAGTGTCTCGAGATGCTCCTGTAGAATCGGTCACCGTACTTGCCTTTTCACGCTG